GCTTTCTAACCTACATTTTTACAAGGTTCGTTTATGCTGATGTTCTTGGGCCAGTGCTGGTTTTTTTGAGCAGAAAGCGTCCTGCAGCAAATGAAACTGCTGGTGGATTTAGCAAATAAATAAGCTGATGGAATGCGGGAGGGGGAGCAGGATGGGTGAAGGTAACAGTCACTGAAGAATGCACGATGGTTTTTTTGAGCAGAAAGCGTCCTGCAGCAAATGAAACTGCTGGTGGATTTAGCAAATAAATAAGTTGATGGAATGCGGGAGGGGAAGCAGGATGGGTGAAGGTAACAGTCCCTGAAGAATGCACGTATTTACTACCATGTAATTACTATTAAAATTCCTAAGACAACTTAGTATCAGTCACGGCCACAACATCCTGGCAAGCTGGACATTTTGAAACTTGATCTCTCCTCAGACTTCTCATCTTGCTGTTTCACTGCAATTTCTCCTTCTGTCACCTTTCCACAATCAGGCCCTCGCACAGGTGAAGAAATGGAGCCTTTCTGCGCCTCTGCCTGCCTCCTCAAATTCATCTGCTGTGGCCTCTTGGGTGATAAGCCTGGTTCAAAGCCTTTGCTTTCAAAATCCTGTTACTGTATTTATGTCACACGTTGGTGTTAATTCATACACTGAGATTGTTTGCACTGGTATATTGCCAAAATCCTACCGAGTTTACACGGGCCATACGCCTAGAGGCAACAGCGCATTTTCACATGTTGTTACAGGAAAGTCATGATAATCTCATAAATAAAACATAGGGGCATCGTTACGTCAATAGAGCCCAGCCTCACTAAAGGCTCTTTTTAAAGAGTAATTTGTTGATACTATCGGAGCCAAGTCACGCCATCAGTCATCCTCTCACGTTCCTTCGGGTTTTAATTAAACAATTACTTTACAGCTTTCCTTAAATTTCAAAGCTAAATAATGTAGGACTTACTTCCTCAATTAAAGAGAGAATCATTATCTGTTGCTCTGAGCTTAGACTGAAAAAAATACCACACTTCCACAGAAAGCTGTTAAAGAAAGTTCTTACAACTGAATGTTTGGGGTATTTTTGCTTTGTTCTAGACCAAAGTCTTGCCTTGTCTGGATGAGGTGTTACAGATTTGAAGTTATATTGACTAGTAACCTCAGGAGTTGACCCTAACACCGGTATCTCAGTTTCTGTAAAGTAAGAGAAAGAGCTGACACTTGTTTGCTGGGGACTTAAGAGGTCTAGCTAATTTTGTTCCACTGAATGATAGAGACTTTATTATTAGAAGTAAATGAGTAGCATGCTTGCAAAGAATCAGGCAGCTTGCTCTCGTTTCAAGACAGGATACACGCTTTGTGGTTTGGTGAAAGTATTTTGATAAAGAAAAAAAATGCCTGGTTGCGCTAAGGGGTAGGAGTGGATAAGAAGTGGAAGAAGAAAGCATGAATGTGAAACTCTGCACCAAAAGCAGAGATCAAAGTTAATGAAGCCACGCCAGCCTTATCAGGAGGTGTAATAAGATAGTGAAGTACAAACGCAACATTTCCCTTTAGATATTCATAGAATCATAGAATGGTTTGGGTTGGAAGGGACCTCAAAGATCATCTAGTTCCAACCCCCCTGCCATGGGCAGGGACACCTCCCACTAGACCAGGTTGCTCAAAGCCCCATCCAGCCTGGCCTTGAACACCTCCAGTGATGGGGCATCCACAGCTTCCCTGGGCAACCTGTTCCAGTGTCTCACCACCCTCATAGTAAAAAATTTCTTCCTGAGATCTAATCTGAATCTTTTTTCTTCCAATTTAAAACCGTTTCCCCTTGTCCTATCATTACCCTTCCTGGCAAAGAGTCCCTCCCCAGCTCTTCTACAGGCACCCTTCAGATATTGAAAAGCTGCTATAAGGTCTCCCCAGAGCCTTCTCTTCTCCAGGCTGAAAGAAGAGAAACCTTTCATATTATGAAAGGTTGGCTGGTAAAACCATGATTACCCTTGGACAGCAGTTCTCCATGGTGGATCTTGACTTTGCAGATGTTGGCTCCTCCGGACCCTCTCTCACTGCTCCAGCATGCTTTTCCCCCTGTAAGTATGACCGTCTAAAGGCTCTGTCTGCAGACACCGAAGCGAACGGTGTACGACAACCAAGATAACTCATTCCCTACAAAGAGCTTTTAATTTGATTTACCTGGGCCACCTCAGTGGAGAAGAGGCATTGGGCAGTGGCTGCTGTGGTGGTGAAAGCACTGGAAAGCCCAAGCAGCACTCCCCAGCCCAGCTTGGGCTCCCTTGCTCTGTCTGACTTTGCCAGGGATCAAAGAAAGTTTAAAGTGGAAATCCACTTTTTTTAAAAAAAAAAAAAAAGAAATTAGTATGGTTCAGCGAAGTTAAGCTCCGATAGTAATGTTTTGTGTGGAAAATGAAGTGCCTCCTTGAAAGAACAGATAGGCAGGATCTGGCTGCTGTCGAGGGCTAGTTTCTGCCTTTGAATTTCAGGTGATTTCTATTCATCATTTCCAAGTATTTAGCATGCCAACCGCAGGCATGCTCTTTCCAAAGGGAATGTTTACTAAATTAAACATTAAAGGAATATGAAAGTTATTCTCTATTCTAATGATGCTTAATTAGAGAAAAAAACATGGAAATAGATTAAAATAATTAGTCTTAATAAGCAGTAATTGCCAAGTCTTGTGCAACAGAATAGCCTTCACAATTTAGAGATAGAGAATAATGATGCTGTGGAACTACTAATAGACACTGCTTTGAATATTAATTTAATTAGTAAAGTGTGTTTAACTTCGTGTTTTCCTAGACTACACAGTTCCAATCATCGAGGCCCATGTGTGCTTACTATGCACCAGGACAGTATCCATCCTGCTGTCCATCAGGATAAACATATATTGGATCAAGACCATCTGAGGTGAATTCAAGTAAATAGGATAATAATGACATTTAATAATTTAGTTTATGTACTGTATAAGTTTATCATACACACATAGAGGTGTGCTCTCTGTACTTGGTGCTTTGGACTACTTTTTGCTTTGAGTAAGGAGGTATCTCCTTAGTTTTAAGACCCCCCCCCCCCCACAGAGAACCAACAAACCACTACACCAGCTGAAGTAGGGGATAAAACCAAATCTTTTTTCTGTTACTTTGACTTTCCTAATGTTGCAAATGAAACTGTAGCTGCCTATACAGTGATTATCCCATGTATTGTAAGAAGTGTGCCAAACTGGTACTGCCCACTGTCTGGTTGAGCCCCCCCCCCAAGCTGGCCCAGGTTTCTTTGGGAAAGCACAGGTTGACAGCATCTGCCCACTTCAGCCTTGCTCAATCTAAAGCTCGCTCTGCCCATTTCTCACCCTGAGCTCTGGTTAACAAAAATATCAACACGGTGAAGAGGAAGCAAGCATTATTTAGTGCAGCTTGCCACTGCATTTCTGCGCCATATGGTTCAGTAAATCTTTTGCAGTCCCTGTTAATCAGGAAGGCACTACTACTAAATTTAAAAATAATTTCACACTTCTATAGGCTTCTCTTATGAAAATATCCAAGTGTTTTTGTGAAGATGTGGGAAATTATTTTATATGGGAATCACGCGAGTTTCCTCCTCATGTTTGAGCTAGTCTAAAAATGGGTAAGGAACCGAGAAGAACCCTGCAGACATTCAAAGACAGCAACCAGATTTACAGCTGTCAAGGGGGATCCCTCAGTCCCACCTGCAGCAGCCCTGCCAAGGTTGAGAAGATGAAGATCAGAAGATAACACTCTGCTCAGAGATCAGTCCTATAAAAGGAGCAGAAATGTCAGCAGCTAAAAGTTCGAAAGAAAGCCAAAGTTGGCAGCCCACACTGGTAGTGGGGACATAAGGAAACTGAGACCACTTCTTTGAAGTACACTTACTTAAGGCACCAACAGTAGGAAACTTTTTCTCTCCAGCCATTATCCAGTGAATATGAAGAGCTATCATCATCCTGTTAGGCCAGGGTTTGATGATAGAGGCAATGCAGCACTATGACTCTGAGCTGGGTCAGAAATGTCACAGAGTGCTGATTCTGGCTCTTTTTGGGGCTTAAATTAACTTGTGTAAAAAAAAAAAAATGTTGACATGGTTTTGGCAAGCTTTATACCAGATCAGATATCGTCTGCCTGCGCCTTTGTAACGATGCTGTATCAGGTATCGCCCATCTTCCTGCAGCTACTGAAAAAATACAAAACCAAAGTCGATTCTGTGCTTGGGCTAAAACAAAAGCGTGTGCCTGCACCTGATCTGAATCAAGTTTATATTAATGAGTTGATCTGACGATGCACTGAACTAGTGTTTACCATCCTCCAACAGATGCTTAAGGTAATCTCGGTAGCGCCAGTGTCTCCTTTTGCCCGTGGTTTTGCATGATCTTCGAATCTCAGTGGTTTTCTACCCTAAAAAGAGACCCTGTTTCAGAAGGGCTTCGGCGTGTGTCGGTGTGTGCTCCTGCTGCTGAAGAGAAACCTCACTCACTCAAAAACACCAAACCTGTTGGGCCTGCTGGGCGTCATGACTGGCAAGCAGGGCCTGGAAAGAGGAGAGCCTTCAGATGCCCGGGATCCATCCTGTCTCCCAGGGAAGCAGAGTCCTGCAGGAAGCACCCGGTCGGCCACTCCAAGAACTTGCAAAAAGCCTTGGAAAAACCCCGCCTGAGTCCTGCCTGAGGCGCCCGGGGCCCGGCGGCACCGTCCCCTGACAGAGACGACCCATGGCGGCCTGCGGCCTCACCACAAGTTGGACCCGCAAGGCCTCGGGGAAGGAGGCCTGGGATCACGGCTGTAATGCCTCCCCGGCAAACCCCCGCTGCTCCGGGCCTGCCCCGCTCCGGCAGCCGCCCCCCGGGGCTCCGGTTGGACGCGTCGCGGGTGGAGTCTGCTCTCCACGGGGCTGAGGGGCTCCTCAGAGCTCTGACGACCCCCGAAAGCCCCTTCCCCTCTGTGCTACCGCCGCCGCCTCCCTCCGAGAGCGGAGCCGCCGCTAGCGGAGG